AGGAAGGGTGAGAGTGTGCCCCCTGAGGTGTACCTCAACTCACATGCCTAGAAACCGTAGATGATCTCAGCGTAACCCTAATGGATCGCTTAATTAGAAGCTGTCTCACCATTTCTACAATAGAGGGGTTTACGCGCAGTTCTATAAGTATATTAATTATTGGGATACGTAGCTGTGGAAGCCTCTTCTATGTTGAGAATCGCAACAAAGGTGTATTGTTTAGTGTTGAGATATTTTCATTGCTTTAGAGGACAGCATGGAGTGCTGTTTCAGTAGATTGGTTCTTGCAGTAGGTGTGTTGAGAGCATAAGAGCTTAGAGAACACAACTTTGTCGAGCCTCTTAAGGAGAAAAATAGGGTGGCTCCTGGGTTGAAAATCCTGTGGACTTATGAGGGAGGCTTTTCCTTTACGCTTTGTGTAGACCAATTTCGAGCTAAGCCATGTTTTCGGAAAGTTTCCAGTAAATAAGGATTTCCGAGAGATCTCTGCCAGCCATCTTATGTTGACATCTCTTTTTATTGGCCATCTTATGTTATTATCGGATACTAACTAAGGAGGAACTGGTACTTGGCGCACTGTTGGTTTCATCTAAAACTTTCAAAATATATCAAAAAGGCAAAAAGGACCACGGAATTATTGATGAAGTGAATATCAATACATATCAATTCGGGCATTCCAGCTCTATGCCGAGACACTTTTGCTTTTATGATACTCACGGGAAAGAAATATCTCACGGTTCGTTGGGAAATTACTAACAAGCCTTCCTATCTGATTTGACATATAACTCAAAAAGTTGGCGCCCCACACTTATTTGCAACGCAATGCGTGATTGTGGCACAGCATCGCAGCAACCATAAATTAACACGACGTACTCGCAACGGGGGCATTAATTATTCTAAGCCGACATCAACGCCCAGTAAAAAAGCAAAACAAAACGCATACGCAGCTAGAGATTTTGACCACAAATTATACCAATGTACGAGTTCGCAATGCAATTCAAAATTGTCTTATTTGTTTGCCCAGCTAATTGGTACGCCTTCATCGAAGTGGCAGATATCCTTAAAAGGCGTGCGTGTTGCCAGCGTTTCAACTTTTTATGAGCTGCTGTGGCATTTGACTAAACCGGATCTAACTCAGATATATTGGTATATGGTCGACGCTGAGTCATGTTACAACTTTCAATGTCGATGTTGGCGGCTGGCGATGCTGACGGCGCCTAATGTAGAAAATTGTAAATTCCTTTATTTGGAACGAGCGACGCCTGCACGGAGAATTCGTTGAATTATGAGAATTAGTGATATTTAAGACATTTCTCACGTGCTTGAAGCGCTAAGTGGTTTTCTGCTGCTGCTAGATTATGTGCATCTATTTGGAGCATTGATCGGCGCGATTATTGATTGCCACAAACTGGTTCTCGGCCTAGAATGTTAAGCCATGTGGGAGCAATTTAAATATGATACGTTTGCACACACAAACATAAATGTATTTATATGCACATACGAATGCAGCTAATTTTCAGCTCAATTTGAAATGTATAACGTGGATGTCAATTGCGTCAATTTACATTCATTATACTCCATACTTGTATGAATCTTTAGCGTTAGCCTAACCACTTTTATTTATGGACTCTGCAAACGAAGTCAATGCCAACGGCCATGCGGCGACAAAAAGTACTTTAATTAGAATACGTATCTACACTCGGGGAAAAGTAGACTGAATAGTTTTCGTGAATCAGTTGAAATCGAGCCTACGATAACAATGGGATACTCTTTCGTATATGAGAGACAAAGCCATCAATGTCTTCGGGGATGGTTCTAAGCTCGATGGGAGAGTCAGGGGAGGGGTCTAATCCGTATACCTGCAGGTTAGACTCTCCTTCCGTCTCCCAGATCTCTGTAGGAGGCGTCGCATAACATATCTCCAAGTACTATAGGCCGGAGACCGTTACTTATTTACGCTGTCAGCCAAGTAGCGGTTAAGGCACTCAGGAGAACTCAGCAGACCAGGCCATCCCTGAACACCAAAAGAACTGCAAAAGTTCTAAATTAAAACTGTACTGAAGGCGTTGCATAATATATCGCCAACCACTATAGGCCGGATACCGGTACTTATCTACTCTGACAGGAAAGTAGCGGTTAAGGCACTCAGGAGAACACAGCAGACCAGGCCGTCCCCGAACACCTGGAAGAACTGGAGCCCTGCTTAAATTAAAATTGAAAAGAATCGAAGGCTTTGCTGTGGTGGAGGTACCCCATCTAATGATTTTTGCAGAAGTTGCAGATATCAAGAAGAGGAGAAAAGCGTTGAGCACCTGCTCTGTCACTGCCCTGCAGTAAGCAGGTTTAACAAAAATTAAGATCGCGAGCATATCGTAGTTCCTAGTTGCGGTTGGTTAAGGGTGGACTCTTAAATATAAGAAAAGCTTCATTTCTACTTGATTTTAGACTAAACAAGAAAGGAATGCTAAAGTTAAATACCCTGTACCTATTGCATTTCATTCGGCTATTATATTGTTGGTGCTATTTGGTATTAAAGCACACATAGAAAACTATGTTGTTTCAAAACTTGTTTCTTTATAAAGATATTTTAACTAAAGTGCAAAAAGGAAAATATGAAAAGAAATTAAAAATTAATTTTAAAACATTATATTAATTCAATTATTTTATTAAATTTAATACAAATTAATCAATACATATATACAAAAGTGGAGACATGTTCATGTACAGTTTCAACAGCATACATTTACAACAGAATCGTGTCTCTGCGTGTTTATATGCGTGTATGTATGCAGAACAAAGCGTTGTGGGCAGAGCTCCAGGCAGCGATTTTGTTTATGGCTATAACTTTCTTCAGAATTGACATATCATGGCCAACGGACACATAATTAGAATAAAAAAAAAACTTGACCTGCCTAGGGCTCAGGGGAACCTGGATACCAAGTTTGGTCATTCTAGCTCTTGTACCTTCTGAGATCCTTGCGCTCATACAGACGGACGGCCGGACAGACGGACATAGCTATATCGACTCGTCTTGTCACCCTGATCAATAATATATATTCTTTTGGGGGTCTGCCACGCCTCCTCCTGTATGTTACATATATTCGCACAAAACTAGTATAGCCTTTTACCCTTTGGGTACAGGCTATAAAAATATTTAAACCGGTCATCCGATATTGAAAAAGATTTCGTATTTGAATTGAAATCAAAAATTGTTTTTTTTTTTGTTGAGTGTAAATACTATACGTAGTTCTTTCTACCACATTTCTCACCCATACAAACATATCCACAAAGGTGTATACGTTAAAACGAGTTTTTGGTCAAAAATGCGTTTTGAGTGCGCTAGATATGCTGTCATTAGAGAAAAATAAATTGAATTAGCAGCAATTTGCTCGATCTACTTCTAGGGGGGGCATGTGTATACGCAAGTAGGAGCAAAAACCCCTTATTAGAGATAAATTGTATGTAATCATGACAGTCTGCCCAGCATTGGGATTACTGAGGGATGTCCGAACCTGCGAGGGTATGTTCAATTACTTGGTGAGTTGCCATCTAAGATTAACTGCACTTTAGTTAAAATATCTTTATAAAGAAACAAGTTTTAAAACAACATAGTTCTCTATGTGTGCTTTAATACCAAATAGCACCAACAATATAATAGCCGAATGAAATGCAATTCCTCTTCCGCACATACTTGTAGGAAAAGCTGCATACAAAGTTTCGATATTCTAGATTTTATACTTTCTTAGATCGTTCCAAAAATATGTACCGCCCCATAAATGACAGAAAATGCACAAAATTTAAAACAAATAATATCTTAAAGAGCGGTAACAGCTGAATGGTGTAATATTACTCCAGGTGTGTTTATAAATTTGCTGGCATCGACACAAAAAAGCCTTTAATCAGTTCAAAAAAATACAAATAGAATAAATCAAACGATAGCTTTCTGCTGCTTTGAAACTAGCTGCATAAAATAAGCTCTAACCAGAAAGTAAGCAGAATTGTTTGTCTTTGGATGTTTTATGCAAAAAGGGTAATAAAAGATGTCGCATATAAAACTAAAGATTGTATTATATGGTACCAATAATTTAGCTTAATTCATAATACTTTCCTTTTTATAATACTCCAATGGCGATAAAGTACCGCACTAAATAAGCTGTAAGCCATTGTATAGGTACAATTTGAGTTTATGGTTTTGTATCCTGAAGTGTTGGCCAATAGGAGAACAGCTACACAGTGGAACAACAGTCGCTGGTAAATAATTTAATTTGTTGCTTATCCGATCACAAACTTAGCTGATTTACTAAAACCCGCTTTGTGAGGGGTGCATCAGAAAAAAGCCCAAACTACACTTGGCCAGAGGAAATGAATACACAGCACTCATACTTTCTGAGATGAACCCATAGACCAACGAACTCTTTAAATAATTTTTAAATTAGAAGAAAAAATTCTACGAACTGCAGGGGAGTAGGGAGAAGTGGGAAAATGTTTATATGAAAGAAGTTATGGAAAATCACAGTTAAGTAGGAGAGTGTCTCACTTCATCCCAAAAAATAAACACATGTACAACATTTTGTATCTCTAGCTAGGGTCTGCCCGTTCCATATTTCACTTTTCGCAAACCTAAAATACCATTGTACTTACTTTCCCGGTAAAGAGTACTATATAATTAAATGAAAAGGCTTCACAGATTTAAAAGTTGTATTCTTTAGGCAACAAAATCAATGTTTCAAGGTGATAGAGGATAATGGTAACTGTTCAGTATACTTGTACTTATCTTGCTTAGATCCGACTTCTTATTGCAATGAGTAAGCAACTCAATGATTTACTTCTGGAAACAATTTTGTTGCAGCCTAAGATCAACGTAGATCAGACGAATAAGAACAAACTAAGTATTTTATTTGGAGTGCCACAAATACAGCTCAAACATTATAAATTAAGAATAAATATAACAGCGATTAACACAAAGAAAGGAAGCACTATAAAATTCCCATCACTCCGATCTACAACCCGTTCTGGAGTCGCAGTCGTCTGTAGTTGCCGCTGCTGAAATGATGCCCGCCTGCATACATAGGTACCATGTGCTTTTTGTCCCGCCTCACCATTGATTGCACTAGACTGGCCGAAGCCTCGTGCTGCTCCTCGTCTATGTCCTCATAGTCGTCTTCGTCTACACCGGGGAATAGGACGGGTCCGTTGCCCTGGGGATTGTGTGGCCTTTGTTTGGGAGCAAGTGCGTGCGGTGGAGGTGGCAGCTTCTTGGGCTTGCGCTGAAAGTAGCTGGCATAGTCCGGACGCGCATAGCTCTTGGCCACTCCTTTGTACTTGTAGTGCTTCAGGCCGGGCGTGGTGTGCACCACCTTTTTCTGATGTATGTGATTTGAAATGGGTTCGCCACTCGAGACGGGACGGGTCTTGGAGCTTGTGAAGCTGGTGTGTAGCGACTGCTGCGGCGCGGAGGGCTTATGTAGATAGTTGTGGGGGATCTCTTTAGGCTTGTAGTAGTCGTAGTAGGCGTGGTGCGCCGGCGCGCTTGTTGTGTAGTGCGGGCGATACTCTTTCGGATCGCTTACAATCAGCGCCTTCCACTCACCCTCCTGCACAGCATAGTTGGGCTGCAGCTTTAAGGAGTAGTCCTCCAGCTTGTGGGCAGCGGCCACCTGCTTGTAGTAGTTGTCGCGAGCGTGCTGTAGGCGCTCCCTAATGCTCGGCTCCAGGTCCATGGGCACCTGCTTGATGCGCGCGTGCGGCTTGAACTCAATCAGACTCGGTATCTTCGGATGCGAGTGTGTGAGATCTTCGATGGGTCGCTTCAGTGGCTTTATATCAGAGCTTAGCACAATGTGCTCCTGATCTTTGCTATAGTGATTGATCTTGGACTGCGATGTATCATCGTTAACGACATTGGCGCCATCAGGCGTTTCGGTTATGGGATGCGAGTTGGCACCAACTGTCTTAACAATAGCATTGAAGCCTTTCTTGCCATCAGCCGTGTAATGAACGGTGCGGATGGAGCCATCCGGTTCCAGAATGCTATAATGGCCCTTGATGGTGTCACCCTCGCGCGATTCCCATTGCGATTTCACATCGCCGGTGTGCAGATCCTTAACGCCGTAGCTAAATGCGTACTCGGGATGCTCCTATTGGGGCGAGAAGAGTAAAGTTTGCTATTAATTAGGGAGCCTAGTGTTTTAGGTGTGCTTGGCAACACTTGAAAAACGTGTGTGCCACGACCGCACCTTAAAAGCCTACTGCCCCCTGGCCATGTCAATGTCTTAGAATTTTATGTTTGTTCGACAGCAAGAACATATACTCGTACATACAATAAAAACCAAACAAACAAAAACGTTGGCCGTTTTGGCTTGGCCAAATGGTGTCAAGGCAAAAACTCGCTCCGATCCGCTCCGCTCTGCTCTGCCTCGCGCACAGTAGGGGCTGGGTTTTCTTTGATCGATAGCCGCAATCAAGAAATTGCAATTAAATTATGAATTAGGCGTTTAAAAAGCCGATTAGACTAGACTACTTTCAACGGATTTGTAACACTTTAATCCCAGAGAGACGAATGACAGACATTTACATAAATTCAATTAATACCCTGTGTGTTTATTTTAGTTTATTCATTTATTTATTTATTTATTATGCCACTAGCGAGATGAAAAAGTATCTCACATGCTTTGGCCCGATTTCAATTAGGAGCACAGACATCCATAAATGGCAAGTCCCAGGCCGGCGTGTAAGAGTTTCAGATATTGCAGCGCGGGCACGCACTCACGACGCTGACCGCGCTCTGGCGGTTGCTGGCGGTTGCTGGCGGTTGGTGTTGTTGTTGTTGTTGCCTCTGTTGTAGCCGTTGGTGTTGGTCGGTGTTTGGCAGCGCACAACACGGCGTATGCGTGACACAAAACAAATGATTACATGCGAGCGCGTAACTTGAGCAGCGAGTTGGCAAAAGTTAAAAATATAGTTTTTAATCGCACAACTTGGCGTTGGTTGCGTAAGTTGCTGGCCACCCAGGGGCCAAAATTGCGAACGACCAAAATGTGGAGTTGCCAGTTGCTGGCCCCAATTACCATTGGCTGTGGGTGCACTAGCGTGTGTGAACTTTGCCTCATAAATTTGCTGTAGAATTTATGATTGGCCCATAGAAGCTTATTGTATATCTGTATATACTACTTGTATATACAATTGGGGGTATGCATGCAAATTACACTGACGATGCCTGCCAAATGTAGTGACAACGGACTCAGCTCGCTTGATTACTTGATCGCTCCATCGCTCCATCGCTCAAATCGCATGCCTGTTTCTCGACGACTTAGCGACACAATTGGCTCAATTGAACGACAGACAGATCGTGGGAGCCCAAGACATATCTAACCGACATAGAGGCAGGCAGTCAGACAGATAGGCCACGCACAATTCAAGGCGTTAACCGCCTTGACGACGGCAATGCCAAGTTGTGCGCCTTAAAAACAGCATGGAAAACATTTTAAAATGTTAAACGCGCTGTCAGTTAACAGTTATGGCAAAGTAAAGAAAGAATTGTGCCCGCCTCCTCGCCCCTCGCCTCCTTGCTTCCCCGCCTGCCCGCCTGCCTGCCTGCCTGACCGAGTGCGTGGCCTTTCGCTTTGTCTCGGTAGGTGCAGCTCTACCACCAGCAGCTTACGCTCTTGCCTTATATGGCGCCAGACTGTCGTTTATTGTGCACGCAAAACGCATTTTCAAATTTTCGCATTTTCGGCGATTACCTGTCGCCCCCAACAATGTCGTCGAGCAGGCCAACGGCTTGCCATATACTCGTAAATGGCATGTCACAGCTTGACATGCGGGCGTTGTCAGCTAAATATATAGCAACAATATTTCTAGCCTTATTCACTTTTAAAGCCCTGCAATCTGTTGGGAAATTGAATTAAATAAGTTAATCTTAAGTATTAAGCTATGGTCATCTGTTATCTCTCAAGGAATATGATCTGTAAGAAGGACAGCAAGCGGATTCTCAATATACCGTTGGATCTACAAATATTAAAAAACGGTGTCCCTCAAAAACCGGTACATACTTGTATTACAAACTTTTTTATATCTACCCAGATTATAGTATTAGTCTATGGTTCCATAATAATATGAAACGGCCATGGCCCAGATAAGTTTTCACATTTAAAAACATGTGGGGAAAAAGTACATTAAAAACAAGTGGAGAAGCTTCGACTTTGAAATACTAAGTATATACATATGTATGTGTAGAACAATTACAGAAATTAAGAATTAAAGAAAAAGTCAAAAAATATTGGTCGATTCTAGCTCTTTTGGTATTCCAATTCACGTAAAGAGTGTACAAGTATAACTGAAGATAGGGAAATACGAAAAAATAAACAAACTCGGTTAGCGTACACACGTAAGGTATCTTTTTGCAAATTTTGGCGTTTCTATCTCTTGTAGTCTCTAAGATTTAGGTGATCATACGGACGGACAGATGGACAAGCAGTGCTACATCGACTTGTTTTGTCACGCTGATCAATTTTGTGGGGTATGCCACCTTCTGCCTGTTACATTTTTCACCTCCCGCAAATCTAATATACTCTTGTATATTTTATGTACAGAGTATAAAAACAACAAGTCCGCGTCTGTGTGGGATTATGGACAGAGATTACATTTATGGTTATAACTTTCTTTAAAATTCTATCACCTGAAGTAATTGTCAAATTTGGATAAAAAATGCCACGAATTACGGGAGCAATGGGAAATCACTAATAGCAAAGGAGTGGGGAAGAGGACTGTATATACCTATAAGGCATATTGGTGTCTCTAGCTCTTATAGTCTTTGAGATCTAGATGTTCATACGGACGCACAACGGACAGACACACAGACAGTCAGAGCTAAATCGACTCGTCATGTCATGCTGATCAAAGTATATGTAGTGTATGGTGCTATATTTTCTGCCTGTTGGATTTCTCACTTTGCTTAAGTCTAATATACTTCTACATCTTTAGGAACAGAGTGTAAAAATGCAGTTTCCAGACGAGTGCTTTCTGTTTGAAATGATTGAAAATTAAGATAAGCTGGCATACAATGTGCTCGAAATTATTGTTGTAATACATACATTCCTGTAGAGATTTCAGTTGGTATCCTTTATGTCTGCAGGAATCGAAAAAGTCATCAAGAATAATGGTGAATATTCAGGGTATAAAGTGCGCTCTAATCAGTTCAATAAACATAACATAATTTCAATATTTATTACTATTTTTGTTGGTCACACCTATCATTCTGTCTAAGTTAGTTTTTGAAAACTAACTAACTAAGCTAAACTATTATTTATTGAAAACTAACAATTTCTTTCATATAAATTAAATTATATATGAAAGCCAAACCTTTTTTGATAAAAATATGCTAACAACCATTATTCTGTCCATGAGTGTATTCCAGTAAAATATATATTCATTTCAATCATTTTCCTTGGTAGCTATCTAGTTAAGCGAATAACTTGGAGAAATCACATAAGCCCAAAAAGCCTTCCAATGGCCAACCATTGTATGGTGCCTGATACTCAAAGGGTCGCACTAAAACACCATGTAAGGGCAATGGGCAGAGCAGAGCAAAAAACGAGTGAGTTGAGCTTACATACTTGTATATACATATGTAATTACAATATATTTCTTTCTTAGTTGAATGAGGGGCTAAAAAAACTTGTATCACCTGGATAACTACTTGTAGGTAATTGGCTCAACGAATGCAATTAAAATCAATTATTAAAATGCAATTATTTCTTTATCGAATGTAAAGTATATGGTTGCTCTACTTACGAATTCCGGTGCGTATTCCATCATCCCGTCATCCTCCACCACAACGGGCGAGGCGCCGGCAGCAGCCTGATGTGAGCACAGGCTAATGGCCAGGAACGTGCTCGCAAGAAGGCGCGCCCAGGACGGCGATGTCGCCAACGGGCTGATACTGCGCCTAACCTAAGGCATTTAATAGAAATATGAATGTTTTATCAGCAAACGGTTAATAAATGAGGCGATAAAACAAGTTGGCCAACAAGCAACTTAATAAATTGCCAACAAAATTATTACGCGAGTTTGGGCCAATTAATTGGTCTGCCAGCCAACAGATCATGCGAGTACGCAACGCATGTTCGGACTCATTGTACCATTTTTCATGACAGTGTTCAGTGTACAGTGTACAGTGTACACTGTACAGACGGTGTGGGGTGTTGGGTGGTACATGTCATATGCAGTTGTGACAGTTGTCAGATGGCCAAAATTAGGAGCATATAGTAGCCGTACTCGTACTCGTACTCGTACATGTGACAGCAAATGTCAGTGGAGTGTAGATTGATGGTTTTGCCTAAGACCAGTAGCGTAACAGGTCTGGCAGGATGGCAGGCGAGTGTTCGAATGTACGACTGTCTCGTACAATTCAATTTTCAAATTGCCAGTTTCAGTCTCGGTCCGCTTGTGGGTATTTTGGGGCTACCTGGCAGCAAATTGCAACAGTTTTTGCTTTTTCGGCTGTTCGACTCGGCACGATCGCCAGTAATACATATGTACATATGTACGAGTTTACGAGGTCTGTTCAAAAGAAAAGGCGAATGTTGAATTTCTGCGCGTTGTGTACATTCGATTATCGTTGTTGGCATTATCAGCCCATTTGGATAAGTACTAGTTTGTTGTTGTCAAAAGGTTTTCACGTTTTTGTATGTTCTTCGATTTTTGAACTTTGAAAAAAAAAAATGGATTAAAAATTATGTATGTATTAACAAAAACAACAAAAACACCTGATGTGGCTCCTTGCGACGTTTTCTTATTCCCAAAACTGAAGAGACCAATGAAGAGATAAAGTCAGAATCGAAGAACGAACTGATGGCCATACCGAAAAGCGCATTTCAGAAGTGCTTCGAGGATTGGAATCAGAGACCTGCAGCGGTGCACCGCAACAATAAGTACACCGCATACCTACTTAGAATATTTCACTCACGATCACACAAAACACCGCATAAAAAATGATGCGGTGTTGATTATACTCATGGCCTTCTTATACTTAGATCAATGCAATCACAACAAGACTTTTCGCTATCCTCTTCACTCATTTTTGTACTTATGCGGTTAGTGATTGCAAAGAAACTTGTGCGAGTAAAAACCACCACCAAATTTTTGCGATCAATTGAGTATTGGGTTTTCTCGCACTCGGCAATTTTTTTACTCTGTCTTTTTGAGTGTTCGCTCTGCACGATCAATTCAGATGCGGTGCCTGCAATACTTGTACTTATGAAAGTATGATTTGCGATGTTGACCTTGGATATTCAGTGCACATGTGTTTACACGTATGTACATATGTATGTAGTAGAATATGTATGTATGTTCTTTTGTGTGTACACTGTACATATTCCGCTACGATTTTGTTTTGGCTATATCGCTAAGAATACAAACATAAACAAGGCAAGGTAAAAAAAAAGATGTGTACAAAATTAAAAGGATTTATTTAATTCATTTTTTTGCTCTTATGAATACGTTCCTCTATGATCGATTCAACACTAATGAGGCTTATGCAGCAATTAACTATACCCTTCCATATGAAGCAGAATGCAGAAAAAAATAATTTACAGTGCATTATGAGCATACATAAAAAAACGCCGTTATGCACATGCGTTGTTTTCAGTACTTGGTCTTTGCTTCGCTTCGATTTTCATATGCGGTGTTTGCAGTACCCGGTCTTTGCTTTGCTAATCATCACATTGATTTTGTCAACTCTTCTCTCATCGTTTCTTGCGCACGCAATATTTGTATTGTGCGCGTATGAGTATAAGTACGATTGCAGAAAACGACAACAAGAATGTGCGATGAAAAAGTAAAGCAGAAACCGCATACACCCATGATCGAGTACGAAAGTGATCCAGTCATAGCAATACAAAAATGCCTTTTGAGTAGGTGACTGAATTGACAAAATAGTATGCGGTGGCGATCACACCGCAACCGCTTTTTCAGTAAGTATACTTAGAGTCACAAAAATAGGCACTCATGCAGTTCTCTGATTGGAATATATAAAAATAATATATAAAAAATTCAAAATTCACCTTTTCTTTTGAACAGACCTTGTGCGCGTTTGTGTGTGCGATTGGGGAGGAATGCATTGGGAGATTTCGTTTTCATTGATATGATGAAACCTACGCAATTAATGCAATGTTCGGCTTAACGGGCAGAGTAAGCTTAACCAAAAAACTGGGACCAATTGGTCGTAGTTTGGTCACTTCAATAAAATTGTGCTCCGGTGCTCTTTGCACTTTTCATTCCGTTATTACTTGTACAAGGCATGAAGCTGTCATACAGATATTGCTGGCTGCTCCTTTGAGAGCTAAGATTGTATACCGATTGTATTCTTAATTTATACTACTTTAATGTCTAATACTATTTTATATATAAGGCTGCAGACCAAATTTTTCTAACAAATTCAATTTTAACGGCAAAAATATTTGAGACTTTTAAGTAAATTTTAATGGCGATTAATTGAGCCGAGTTTCTCTAGTTAGAATGAGTAATAAAAAAGCATTAGCAAATTTTTATATATTTTTTTCTCTGGGTGAAAGGCAGGAGGCTTGAAAACCCCAACACAGTATTCTACATACACACATATATTCTTTATCATGAAAATAAGAATCGTGTCTCTCAGTCTGCATGAAAGCAAGGGTCTTTTTCTAAATCCTCAAAAATGCAGCACGTGAATATCAGATTGGTGGCTCTTATTCGTATATTAGAGGAAGATCTTGACATACTGACATTTCTAGATCGTCTCTACAGTAATTCCGTAATTCCTAAAATGTAAATAACATGACATCACTATCCTTTTTCTTGTACCTCACAAATCACGTCGACTTGAGCCGACTTTTCTACAATGCTTCGGTCGAAAAAGTCTGCCATTACACTTAAAATTAACACAGCCTTTAACATCGTAAAATATTCGAGTCAAAAATACATTTCACATTTTGAAGCAACTTGTACAAATCGAAAAATACGTAGTAATACACCCAGCCTTCAAAAGAACACGTAATCCTACTCGTAACAAGAATGTACAGGGTGCGCCATCTTTTATGTCGGTATGCAAACATTGAATATCCTTGAAAATAAACAACCGATTTTCAAGTATGATATATTTTTATTTAATTTGGTTCTGTACAATTTCTTGAACTGAGGTTTTCAACACTGGTCTACTCAAGTCAATCGGTTCACTGATGACAAAGTTATTCAATATCTACATACAGACATAAAAGATGGCGCACCCTGTATGTTTGAGTTTTGAGGACCCGAGGCGTATGTGTGTCTTTGCGTAACCATGTGTTCGTATGTGTGGAGTAGCAACAACAAAATCAACAACAAGAACAGTTGCTGCCATATACCAACAGATATGAAATATCCTAAAAAAGTTAACCTAACACAATGGAACTTAGCATGAGGGTACATAAGAACTAACCTGTTTTAAATGATAACTTTGATTAACAAATTCAAAGAACTACGGGAGTTATGGAAAATTCGAAAAGCACACTAGACATATGGACGGACATGATTATTAATGATTATTTAATTATCAAATATATTAACAAATAATTCTGTCAATACAGTTTAAGTTATAATTTAAAATTAAAAAAAATATCAATGCCTCAAAAATATCTATACAATAATGTCTATTAACACTTTGGGGGAGTTTTACAGCCATATGTTGTCAGAGACATTATAGACCTACACCACTAAAAAAAAATAGATAGTAGAGGTGAAAAGCAATTCTACTTAAGAGCTATCTAGATGAAGCAAGTCAAAAAGAGAAAAAGCAAAATCTCCAACCCGGTGGGGGAAAATTTGATTGCCAGTCCGGCCAGCTATTCTATATCAACGCGTCTTGTCATACTGATCCAGAATATATACTTGTATATGTACTTTGTGTGATCTATTGGCTGTTACCTACATTCGCGCTAAACTAGTATACTCTTTTACTCTTTCGGTACGGGGTATTAAAAACTAAAGTGGAATTTTAATAAAGTGTGGCTTTCTCCTGAGTCAACAATATATTATTTGTTGTTCTTGTATGGATATGTTTTTGCCCAAGGACTTATGTACATGAATACATTTCTAAGGAAGGTGCCTTAGAAGGCAAGACTAGTAGAAATTTATACTACTTATAAATTATACTTATCATTGTATAATTAAGCATTAATTGTGTTCTAAGCATGTCAATGTTTTGCTTTCATGCGATTGCTTCTTTGAATAGCACGATACTATAATTTAAATAAATGTTAAGTGAAGTATTTTCTTCAATTCAAATTGTATTGCAGTTTTCACTATTTGCATTTCAATTGCTCTGCATTTTTATGACTTTCACTTTGGAGAAAGTTTGGACAACACAAACAGCACTGGCTTTTTCTTCTGTATTTTGTCAATAATTCGACCAAAACGAAATTCGTGTACACACATTTGTATATTTTCGCCGAGCTCGTGTTTCACTTACATAAAATCTCATTTTTATAAAAACAAATTACAATTATTTATAACAAAATAAACACAATTGCCGAGTCGCAATGCAGCAGCAACTGGCGATTAAAATCGCACGAAAAACGCGTCGTTGTCGCTCGCTCGTTCGCTCGCTCGCTAGCCAATGTCAAGGACAAAAACGTAATTAAAGCGTTTGCGCGGCAATGCCAAACTATTTATAGTCATAGCCGGGACCGCAGCTGCCGAAGACGACCGGTAAGGCAGCAGACCGTTTTCCCGGCGACAAGATTTTCCGGCCCGACTGGTTGTTGTCAAGTTGTCAGAGTCTGTCTCTGCGTCTCCACCTGCCCCGGCACCTGGCCCGGCACCTGAACCGGCACTTGCGCCTGCGCCTGCGCAGCGTCATCCAGCGTGCGACCGAGAGATGAGACGCAGCTCGCGTGGGTTGGTGGTGGTGCTGGAAGCTGGGGCTTCCTCAGCTCTGGCTAATTGACAATTATATGTACTATATGACTCTGCGCCCGTCGCGTCGCATCCGAAATACTAGTTTCGACTCGCACTGAATCGCCGCTTTTCATTTCTAGCTGCTGCTGCTGTTGGCTATCACCGCACCGTTTTGGACGTCTCAACTTTTAGTTTCAACTGCGATCGGCGAGTAAAAGTCGCAGCTGTGGCAGCTGTCTGCAGGCATTATAAAATTGATAGCTGTTTAACATAAATAAGAGGCTCTTTAATTCTGGGCGTGAACGATTTGCTTTAATGCAATTGGTAATTAATTATAAGTTAATACTACAGGCTAGAAAAGCTTATTTGGTGGCTGAACAAAAACCTAAAATACTGTTTACACATTAGTATATGGTAGTATGCACGTACGGGTATTATCTTGTCAAAGTCTAGTTGGTCAGGTATTTGTGTTATTAGTGCGACTGCTTGATGCTCACATAGCTGCTCGCATGTCCATGTCCATGTCCGTATCCGTGTCCGTAGTCTGCCACATCTTGACGGTAGCCGTAGTCTGCCACATCTTGACGGTAGCCGTATCCTGCGCCGTAGATATTTTCATATCCATAGTCTTTCTTATACACGAGCGGGTGCTTGGCATGACCCAACTTCTTGACTACGGCATTGAATCCATTGTGATCATCAGCAGTGTACTCTACCACCCGCGTAGTCCCATCAGATTCCTTGAGCGAATAGCTGCCCTTGACCTTGTCACCATCACGAGATTCCCATTGGCTCTTCTGATCGCCTGTGTGCAGATCCTTGACGCCGTAGTCGAAGTGGTATTTGGGATGGTGATATGGCTCATGCTTTATGCCATGTCCGTACCCATCCCCATAGCCTCCGTAGACACCGTAGCCGCTGGTCAAGGCGTCATGCCAACCTCCATGGCTTTTGTGGGGTTCCTCGTGCTTGGTCAGCACACTGAAGCTTGTGGCGTGACCGTGTGGCGCCCAGTTGGTTGCTACCAAGCCCAACATGGTAAGCCCCAAGACTGCGCTTAGTGGTGGCATGTTGTTTGCAGTTGGTGGTTATTGGATTTCTAATGGTTCTTGATGGGGCCCCTCACGCTTTTTATAGCTCCAATGCCCATCAGTCGAGCTTGCCATTCACCGTTTTGATTTGGTAATTAAAAAACTTTTTGTGCCTTTGTTTAACCGATTGCCACTATTGAAAAATTAATTAATTATTAAAGTAACTTCAATTAGGTAGCAAGAAACATAATTCTTTATGAATACAGCCTGGTCAGTTTTCCTATTTCTATGCCCTCCTAAGTAATTTGTTTCAACTTGTTATCAAATGTCATTTGTTACTTCGAATGTGTACCGATTTTTAAGACTTACTTTCAGATAAAAAGAACATGGAAAAATGTTTATAAACAAAAGAAATATAATGAGCTCTGCTGATTTCTTTACACATTTGTACAACATAAAAGTATAAAATAACTTTTTTTAAAATTATAAAAAATCGTTTAAAAAAACATAGTGAAGTGAAATTATAATTTTAATAAATATAATTGGGTAGATCTTTTGCTAAAAAGTTTATTTTCCGCTCTTTATAGATTTTTTATTTATAAATAATTTCAAAACTTCAGAAATGAGCCTTCAAATATTGAAGAAAATTGAAATAACTTTCTTTAAAATTACAAAAAATCCGTATTTAAAATAAAATGTAGCGAAATTAAATTGTAATAAATATTATATATATCATTTGTCTAGATCTTTTGCTGAAAAAGTGTACTTTCCTTCTCTTATTGATTTTTTATTTATAAATAATTTCAAAACTTCAGGAATGAGCTTTCAATATTTGAAGAAAATTGAAATAACTTTCTATAAAATTATAAAAAAAAACGTAATAAAAACAAAATAAAGCGAAATTAAATTTTAATAAATATGATTTGTCCAGATCTTTGGATAAAAAAGTTTATTTTCCGTTCTTCATCGATTATTTTTCTAAATAATATTAAAACTTTAAATGCACAATAAAATGGCAAATAAAATTGAAATAGTCAACCTATAGTCTATTTAGACTGATTGGATCACAAAGATAACTTATCTGATTGTTCCATGGCCTTTAGGGAGCCCATGCCACGATATTTCTTCGAGCGGAAGTCATCCGAAAAGAAATACTCGCCGGGCGCCTCCGAAGTGCCGGCCAGGAGGGAGCCCATCATAACAGCACTGGCACCCAGCGCCAAAGCCTTAACGATGTGCCCAGTCGCCTGCGGGCAGCCGCAAGCCCTTACCTCCTGGGTGATGCAAACGGAGGCCGTCGACGCCGACGTCAATAAGATTTTTGGCCTCAGCTGCTTGTTGCTATCCTTTGAGGCATTGGGATAGCAGCGTGTCTTCTTCAGATTCGTGAGCGCAATCATAGCCAGCCTCGTTTCCAATCGGCAGCTTACCCTTATTGCTCTTTTCTAATATGAAATTTGCCGTCGGAAGAATGATGCCATTAAGGGCTGTGATCAGATCCCTGGTCATGATGTCCTCCAACAGCATGTCCGACTGATTCTCACGAAAATCAATATCACGAGACGTGACCATTCTCAGTAGGCGGCCGCCCAGCTTGCCATTCTCTGTTACAGGATAGCCGGTGAAGCCGATTTTCCAACGTGCCTCGAGCACATGGCCGACAGTTTTCGTGGGCGAAATGACCGATGGGTCACGCATAAAGCCATGTTTGTGTTTCTTAACCTTATGCACCTCCAATGCTTGATATTCCGGCATGCAGTTCTGATAAATTAAAATCAAAAAAAGAAAACAAACTTGCACAGCGCGCACACATAAGGCATCTTTGTGCCAAATTTGGTGTCTCTAGCTCTTATAGTCTCTGAGATCCAGGTGTTCATACGGACGGACAGACATACAGACAAACAGGGCTAGATCGACTCGTCTTGTCATGCTGATGAAGAATATATGTATGTATGTATGTGTGTAACATTTTTCAGTACATTTCTTGTACATTTCAAGTACAGAGTATAATTAGCAGATCAGGCTTTAGGAATGCCTCATATTTTTCGCCTGGGCAGCTTATTGTGTATCTTTGGTATTATTGCCGCTTTATGTTGCTATTGAAAATGATCGACAACTGTTATGTTTGCGAATCGGAAGTACTTGGTCAGCCAGCCCGTTGTCCATTTGTCTGATCAGTCTCAAGGTCATTCGTTGGCTGGCTGGGCCGAAAATGCAGCGAGGCGCGGCGCTCGCTAATTTGAAAGCGGGCCACACTTGTTGATTGATTTCTAGCAGCACCAACAAGAAACCATAGTAATAGCAATTTTTGAAAAGCAACAACAACACCTAAAGCTCGTTCAAGCGTGTATTCACGCCCCGCTTCTTGTTGCCTATATTATAGTATAAGTAGTTGTTGTTTTGGCACCTTCTTTTGGGCCGCATATGATTGTTGGGTCTTAGCAATTCTTGCCTTTTGGCCGACTCGCAACAAAACAATTTGAAAAGTATGGAAAAATCGTTTCGCGTTAAATATGCACAAATATGTGAGGCATTCGTTACTTTTTCTAGCCTATTTAACCTCCAGACTGACGGGCCGCACAGCGCATACAAAAGTAATTAATTTAAAAATGAGTGTAGAATGGCATTTGCTTTAGCTACAAGTATAAATAAGCCACAGACTAGGTAGTTAGTACAACAGTGCCAGCAGCATTTTTGGGCAGGCAACAACAGCAGCAAAAATTACCTAATAAGCCACTATTTAAAGAAAATTTGAGCAGAAATGGCGCAAAACTTTTATCTACTCTGTTCTCTCTTGATGGGCTTGGGCATGACGATGGCAAGCTACATTCCACATGGCCACAGCGTTGGATACAGCGTGCAAACGCATCACGAGGTGCCAACCAAGTGGCACAGTGGATCAGTGGACCATGCTTGGAATCCAGCTCAGCTGGAGAAGCAGTGGGCGCCACAGCAGCACTGGGCTCCGCAGCAGCATTGGGCGCCACATCACGAGGAGCCCACCCATCACCCTAAATATCAGTTCGACTATGGCGTCAAGGACACTAAAACGGGCGACATCAAGCAGCAGTGGGAGTCCCGCGATGGCGATAAGGTGAAGGGAGGCTATACCATGAAAGAGGCCGATGGACGCACGCGCGTGGTTGAATACACCGCCGATGCTCACAATGGCTTCAATGCGGTGGTCAAGCACATCGGGCATGCTTACCACCAGGAGCACCAGGGGAGCCAGCATTTCAATTACGGACATGGCCACGGACACGGCCATGCCAGCAGCTATGTGGAGGTGAAGCAGGATACTGGAGACAAGAAATGGTGGTAACAAGCCTCGTAAAGGGTCAAATGGTAAACGAAATTTGTAAACTAGAATAAAACGATCAAAGAAAACATACAACAAACACATGAAAACAGCAATGGAATTTATTTAATTAAATGAAAGTAAACAATATGAAATATTAATTCTATTAATACGGGTATGTGGCTATGTGTCTATGTGTGTAGTACTGAGTTAATCAAAAACAGGAATAATAAGAACAACAGCTGGCAGACAATAGATAAAGATACATTTATGGCTAAACTTCACTTATAATTGGCCTATCACGATATGAATTAGCATGAGCACTAATGTATTGAGGTATTGTATGTAATTTTGTTGTATTGGGTAGACAGTTTTGAAAATTAAGAAAGTTCTCGAAAACTCACTGATATGGCGAGGAGGTAGGGGTGGCGAAAGAAAGACTGCAACTTATAAAATTTCTGATATCTCTTACAAATGTGACCATTTATCGATTCTATTGAGCTGCCTCAATGAGAAAAACGTTCAAAAAAGGCTAGTTACCGTTTTTATATAATTAAAAATATTTAAATATAAATATCTAGTGTACCCATTCAAAGATGAGTTAGATGCATACATAGAAACTACTAATCTCAGTTTTACTATTTGTTAGTACTAGTTCGGTTGTTCGCCTTAAATAATGGCTGAGATGTAGTACAATAGATTATTGGTCTATTATTTAAGGGCGCAATCTATTTGATGCCAACAGTCATTCGCGGTATTTGGCGAAAGGTGTGCTGTCAAGCGGACTACAAAGTGCAATAAATAACTTCAATCACTCATAACTTCTAAGCCTTTAAAGTAAATCACGCATTTATAACTTTTTTGAAAGGCAACAGCATTGGCAGTTGCAGTCAATAATGCGACCACAGGGATCGATGAAACAAAATACAATAAAAATGCAAAAAACCAACTTTTCGATTTTTCGGGAAAACAAAGTCAAAAATATCTAAATATCAATTTACGAAGAAACATTTTGTTATTAAACTATATAATGTTCTACGTATTTGAAATCCGAATAATAAATGTTGAAATTGTGTTTCCGTACCTTTTGATTGACATATCCACCATCTAGATCAGAGCAGTCATTCAAAAGCAAGCTACGAAAAACAGTAATATAGAAGCTCTGTAATTTTATGATAGAACACGTTGTTATCAATAATAAGACATACTTATGTGTAAATATATGTTTAAATCTTCTTGTGTTTTCTTGCTCTCCCTCTAGTGTTTCAAATATGTTTAAAGTACTGTTCATACAAATGGACAAACAGCACAACAGCACTATCTACATGTATTGTTTCTTATCATTCATATAGAAATATATAGCTAGTGCATGGAATTTTTTTTTTATTTCCTTTGTACTCCACTTGGGAGCTTAGGGCTACTACAAGGACATTTTTTCCAATCTTAACACTCTCTATTTCTAGCCGTCTGTCTGGCTGTGTCCCATTTGGTGTTGTTGTGTCTGGGAGAATTCCTGAAGGGTGCATCCGCCGCCAGGTTGCCGTCTTTTTTTAGGTCTGCCGATCCCGTCTGCTTCCTTGGGGGTTCCAGCGCCATCCTTGACATCAGACATCGAAGTAGTGGGAGTCCTTTTTGGATTCAGTTGTCTTGTAGTAGTTTCCATAATCATGTAGTTGTCAGTCGACCTGGTGATTGGCCAGATGCGACTGCATGGAATACCATGCCCTAATTACATGACGTGAGAACATTTGTCGGCAGACTGAGAACAGCAACGGTAGGCCTTGCGGTGGCACCCGCACCACCAGCTCCAAATCAAAGAACACATTCTAAACAAACTCGCAACAGCTTCTGCCGATCAAACATAGTACACTCAGCCAATTATTATTATTTATTTATTTAATATAATAAAAGGATTGTTCAAATAACGCTTAGTTTAAATTTTTTCTTAGCAGTGCTTCGCTGTGGCCGTAACAGGTTGATGTACATGCTAAGCGTGATTGCTCCGCTAAGTATGCTATAAAGTTGCTATGCATAGTTTTGGAGCAACTGCTAATCATTGCAGTTTGGGGGGAACTGTGCACCAGCTATCAATGCTGAATAACTCGTTGAGGTGGAGAACCTTACTTTCAAACTGCAGCGCTTCATTTGAACGTTTGATGGATTCGTTTGCAGGCTTTTTGTTGCAAAAATATGCAAATTACGGACACGGAAATTGACCAGATATGAATGCTGCAAATAATGTGGGAAATCTGCGCTGCTGGCACATAATAAATTGAACAATTAAACATTCATTTATGCTCCGAGACATACTCTTGCGGTCACCGTTGATCCAGGAAGTGTAGCGCTGCAGGAACCCGCAAGGCAAAGATAGCAACCGCCAATTGCCATCCAAGGGAGCCAATGATTGATTGATTGATTGAAGGGTCAACACGTAAAGGAATAACATTTTTATGGTAATGCGGATAAATCCGCCACATGCAAATGATGCCCAGAACTCCGGGCTTACAGATTTTAAAATGCGATGGAGTGAAGCAGCACGGAGTGTGGCGATTGACGAGTGCATCAATATACATATACTCGTATAGTGTGTATGTGTTTTTCTTTTGCACAATAAAACTTTAGCTTTTGCCTCATAATTTGCAAGTCGCACTCCCTGCCTACTTCTCAGCCAACCTCCCTACCGCCCTCTTACTTTAATTCACCCGCATGGTTCGCTTCTTTATATGGTCTCATTAAAAATGCAAATGAGCAGTGGAAATTGCAGCCACATAAAAAATACCAAAAAAAAAAAAGTGCAAGCACCTGCCAACGAGCCAGCCAGGTGAACCCGAAATCCAGGCGCACACGATCCAGCAGGCGGACTGGCAAGCAGCCCATCCAAAAGAGCAGACCAGCCATCAGGCCGTGAAATTTATACGAAGAGTTCCCAGTTCAACTTGAAATTTGCTCTTTTTGTTGCCGGGGCGCTTCTTTCGCAACTCGCCAGCGGCACAGGACACATACACACAGACACACATCCACACAAACATATATACACGTATATCCACCTATATAGAGCAAAAGACGAATTAATTCGCCAAGTCCGAAATGAATGAGAGCCAGCTCTGGAATAAATGAATGAAACGAAATGCAAGGCGCGCAAGATGAAGCAGAAGTAGCGGCAAAAGCTGAAACAGAAGAAGAACAGGCGAACGCAGCACAGCGGAAAAACTGTTGCCCCGTTTCGACTCTTCCACCCAACGTCCACCCGCGCCTTTATCCGCACCCCCACCACCATCCCCACCACCATCCACACCCGACGATGCCGTTATGACAAAAATGCAACGGCGGCGTGCTGAAAGTTTTGCCTGATTTCGGCGCCGCTCAAAGTATAATAATATGCTGGGCCGGTGCTGGTTCTGGTTCTGGTGATGGTGCTGCTGCTGCTGCTGGTGTAGGTCTCTGTGCAGGATGTGGGCGTGGCATGGCCATGCGGCTTGCTTCAAGTGCACACTTTCTCATGGCTTAGCACTTTGCTGCATGCCTCGTTGGCTTTTGTAGACGCGGCCCCATGCACCCGTTCGCAGCTTATGCAACAAATAATTTAATTTTATGCTGCATACAAAAAGGCGCAATGGCAAGGAGGGATGAGCGGTATGCAGCGACAACGGAAATGCCACTTTACGGCCTGTTTGACGGAAAAGTGGACGTTAAGTTGTGAATATAATGATGAAGGCAACGTTAATGATGATAAAAAGCAACTTGCAGGCAACAAGCGTAAATATTGCGAGTACGCTGCGATGCCACCAGGACAGACAGCTGGCGGCTGATGGCCATAAAATGGCCTAAATGCCTTGCTAGCTGTTCCAATGCATAAATGGCCAGGATGTTGCAAAAATAAGAAAACGCAACACATAACAACGCACGATGGCTGCACTCTGCCTCCATATCCATATCCTTGTCCCTGTTAACAACTCAACGGTATGTCTTCAACATAATATGTATCTTTGCAGTGCTAGTTAAGATTAATGTTTAAATAAAGGCTTATATTGCGGCAGCTAATGGCTCTCATGTTTGTGGAATCCTTGAGCTATGTAGACCACACCCACAGGTGCTGATGGGACGGAGCTACACAGAGCTAAGTTGGGTTAACAAAACTTAGATATGTTCGGCGAATTAGACTATTACTTGTGTTGCTAAAATTTGGCCTTATTAATATTATCAAATGGTCAAATATATAGTATATTTATATGCTATCATACAAATCATACACCCATCGTGACAATTTAATTGTTTGAATTGGCAATTTCCTCAATCATGAAGGGACGAATTTAGCAATCGTAATAAAATGTCGAAAAGCAAGTCTAATTTGGAGAGACTTTTCTGTTTATTTGATTGATAATGGCTTGTGTGCTATTTATTGAGTAAATTGTTCCGTTTTTTATAGCCTTAACCCAAAGGGTAAAAGGCTATACTAGTTTCGTGGGAATGTATGAAACACACGAGCTAGAATTACCAAACTTGGTATCTATCTGATAAATCTAATACCAATTAATTTAATTTATTAAGTTTATGATTAATTAAATTTTTTAAATATTAATTATTTATTTTTTGTTTTGGGGTGGTACAGGGTATTTAAGAGTTGAGCCCGCTCAACTTTACCATTCCTTTCTTGTTTTTAAATGTTATTTATTATGGCCGTACTGGCCAGATATTTGTTTATAAATGGACTTAGTCTATTTTACAAAAATCAGTGCACAAGGAGGAGGTACGATTTATATCCTTACGATTTTATATCCTTCCGTTGTGAACGAGTGGAGGGGTTGCGAGTAGATAGCCGAAGCATGATGGGATAGTGTGTTGAAATCTTCATTGATGAGGTTGCATTTTAGGAGTAGGCTTAGAAATAATTGTTAGAGTTGTTTAAACTTTATATGTTTGAAAGCAGATTTAAGTAAATTCAAGAGTGGTTAATATTGTTATGAATTTTATAAATTTTATATATGCCAAAATTGATACACATGTATGTTTCAGAATAGATTTAA